ATTCAATATATACATGGCCCTGTTGGGATAAAGTGATCTTTAAAGAAAATATACCTTGTGCTCGCAGTAAATTACGGTATAGAAGTGAATTTTGTAGAGCCATGGAGTTAAACAAACCCTCAAAATTCAATGTGAATGTGGACAACCTCTCCGAGAGCTTTAAAAGATTCTGGACTGAGTTTGAGATCTACTTTATAGCCACGGAAACTATGCACAAATCTCGAGAAGTTCAAGTTGCTAGGTTAAAGAATTTGTTGGGATCAGATGGACTGAAACTGTATATCACAATAACAACGCTAAAACTAGCTAAAGAAACAGTAAAAAATGTATTAGACAGATATTGTATTTCAAAGAAGAACGAGGTAATGGTAATTCATAAGTTCTTTAGTAGAAAACAAGCTCTGAATGAACCATTTGTAAGATTTTTTATTGATCTTAGGTCATTGATAGTGCCCTGCGATTTCAGAGAACAAGAAAATAAATTACTCAAATCTCAAATAATTTTTGGACTGAATGACAAAAGTGCACAAGAAGAACTCTTAAAAGAAGATCCTTCATTAGAAGAAACTATCAGCTTCTGCAAAACTGCGGAAATAGCTAAGGCAAACATGTAAATTTCAAAAAAGACAAACGTAAATTCACCATCACTTTACGAAAACCGAGGAGAGAGTTTATATGCAAATATGAAACCAAAAAGGAAAAGAATTATCACCTGACCAGAGGACCTCTCAGAATGATGAATATGAATGTGAGCGTTTTAGATGTCAACACACTTAAGGAAGATGACTTGATTCAGTAAGAAGTGCTCCGATTGTTATAAACTAAATCATTTTGCAAATAAATGTACATAGGGTTACCGAAAAAAGCAGACAAATGAAGTGGTAAATTTTAATACCGATGTTTAATAATTAGGCACTTGAGAAGTTCCTTGCTATCACTCAGGAAAAAAATGAATGGCTGACAAAGCTGAAAATTGATAATCAGCTCATTGAATTTAAATCAAACTGTGGATCCCAAGTAAATGTTATTACTACCAGAATATTATGGATGGTCAGGATGGGTTGAGCTTGAACTTAATAGGAGCAGGAATCAAAACAGAAGTTGTGAGATGTGAAATATACGAAGCTCCCCTACGTCGTACTGTTGATGTTATTGGTAAGGATTTTGACCTGCTAGTGTTACCAATAGAACAATCAATAGAAACACTAGGGAGGGTGGAGACATGTAAAAGTGTTAAAACAAAATTTGTCTATAAAATGTATGACACTACTATCTAATAATGCTTTAATCTCATCAAGCTTTGAAAACCAACTGATTGAACAAACCTTAATATTCTGAACATATTATTTTAAATAATATTAATAAAAGTATAATCACTTTAAATCACAATAAACACTGAATATGTTCAAGAGCCGAAAAATACACAAGAAGCATTAAAACCTGCTATAAACAATAACACTTTGATTATTTGAAATTTTTCTATGTTACATTATTATCTTTGAACATAAATGGAAATAATAGAACTTTTAGAGTGTTCTTAAATCTTTAGGCAAAGCTTATAAATTATTTCAATAAAAAATGTGTTCTTTTTTATTTTGGTTTTTATTGATTAATTCATTTACCATAGTATTTATTTCTATTTTTTCATACTTGCACTGTTTTTTTTTGTCTCCTCTTCCTTGCCTTTTAGATTACACAGGGTTTTTCCCCGGCTGGAGGAATTTTGCCGAGTTAAATGTCCCATCAGGATTTGAACTCGTAATTATTTTCTACCTCAAACTTCGATTATCAGGTTGCCGTGCAATGTACTGTACTGTGCACCCAACCCTCCTATTTTGCACATGCTGTGAATGACCTAGGGGAAAATCTGGAAGTCGAGTGTGATATTAGGTAACTTATCACCTTGCACAACCATAGAACAAAAAACAGTTTTCCTTACAAAGTATTGAACTCAAAACCTTCCATGAGTTATAGTGATAAAGTTTTTTTTTTTTTTTTTAATTCATGTATATTACTAATTACTGATTTATATTTTACTTTTTGAAAAATTTGGGTACATCAAATTATTGGAGAAGGAATGATACTCTCCCACTTTCTTTTATTATTGTTCTAGGCCTGATTTTATACCTATTTAAGAAGAGAAAAATAGTTGGGGTGATCAGTAAAAATAAAAATAGTAAAAATAAATAATTATATATATTTTTATTATTGCCGAAGGGAGTGGGGTAGCTCAGTGGTAGGGTACTGTAGTCTGTGGGACAGACCCCCTGACCGTGCAACCTCCCCCTCCCCCCTCCCCCCACATCCCTATAAATTCCCTCGTTGTGTGCCTTGTAACTATTTATTTAAAAAAAGCCAATGTTCCCACAAAAAAAAGTGAACGCACTGCCCCAAAATGGCGTCCAAAGATGGCGGATTGACGACTTTGACTTTAGTTAGTTTTTTGGTCACTGAGAATCAGCATTCGGCTTAATTTCCTCATAGTTGGTATTTTATTAAAGCTGAATAGTCATAGAATAATAAAACATGAAGAAATATTAAAAAACAATTGGCTTAGGCTATGAAAAACACCAGTAAAGTCAATTTTTCTAACAAAAAAATTTTCAAGTTACAAATCAAGCGTCGTTTGTAATTAAACGGCCTACAATAACGCAAAACGTGCTGAAATAAAACATCTGGAGAATATATTTCTCTTTCTAAAACGCTGATTATTTTTTAAAATGTTTAAGCAGTTCCGCAGAAAATGCACTTATGCGGCAGAAAAGCGGTACTGGCGTGGGTGCCTACAGGCCTCTACCACACCATTCAGTACACATAAATGGCTTAGTTATAGTGATATAATAACATTTTTGGTACATCATATTGGTTTTATTAACGAACAAATATTAATGCAATAATTTAATTGTAAAAAAAAAATTAAATTTTTAAAAAAAATTTATTATTATTGTTTTTAAATTTAACCTCCTTTATTCTATACGTAGGTCGTTTAAGAAGACCTCAATTGTAAAAATGATATAATTATAATAATAAAACTTAATTAAAAAATACTTTGCTAAATATCTTGATTTTTTTTTATTTAACGTTTGCAATTTAACACTGTGTTTTGTATATTTACTGATTCTTAGAGGTAATTAAAATTTTATATACTTCCCAGGAAATGAGTCATATTAATACCTGTTTTATAAACTAAAATAATATATAGCTAATCTGAACTATATATAATGAATAGCTACCGGGTTGTTAAGTAATACTCATATATCACTAATTAAAAAATTAATTTTTATTTCCTTTATGTTGTGCAGAAGTTGGACTATATCATAAATAAACAGGAAATTTTAATATTGAATGCATTATTCTCTATGCACAAAGAAAGATAGAAAGGGTGACGCTATAAGTTCTTCCATAAACCAGAACTGATTGTTTGGATTTGGTCTCAAAATGAGGAAAAACGCGAAATTGAACCAGAAAATTGGAAAAATACATTAAGCGAACGAGAAAGGAAGTGCCAAAACCTCGGAAAAGATAAAAAGGACCAGTATCTATTATATAGCTAAATGAATGGGATGATATAGTAGACAGCAATTTCTGAACAATAACGAGCTATAACTAATATAAGATTCCTTAAAAAATCTTTTGCAAAGCACTAAGGGGATGATGTAGTAGATAGATGAGCAGAATATTTCAAGATGCAGCTAAAAGGGGGTCAATAATAATAAATTTTTTAAAAAATTTTAATTTTTTTTTTACAATTAAATTATTGCATTAATATTTGTTCGTTAATAAAACCAATATGATGTACAAAAAATGTTATTATATCACTATAACTAAGCCATTTATGTGTACTGAATGGTGTGGTAGAGGCCTGTAGGCACCCACGCCAGCGCTTTTCTGCCGCATAAGTGCATTTTCTACGGAACTGCTTAAACATTTTTAAAAAATAATCAGCGTTTTAGAAAGAGAAATATATTCTCCAGATGTTTTATTTTAGCACATATTGCGTTATTGTAGGCCGTTTAATTACAAACGACGCTTGATTTGTAACTTGAAAATTTTTTTGTTAAAAAAATTGACTTTACTGGTGTTTTTCATAGCCTAAGCCAATTGTTTTTTAATATTTCTTCATGTTTTATTATTCTATGACTATTCAGCTTTAATAAAATACCAACTATGAGGAAATTAAGCCGAATGCTGATTCTCAGTGACTAAAAAACTAACTAAAGTTAATGTCGTCAATCCGCCATTTTGGGGCAGTGCGTTCACTTTTTTTTGTGGGAACATTGGCTTTTTTTAAATAAATAGTTACAAGGAACACAACGATATGCAATTTATAGGGATGTGGGAGAGAGGATTCATGGTAAGGGGGTCTGGCCCACCGTGTACTGGGCTTCTAATGCTAAAGGTCCCAGGTTCGATTCCCAGCTCATGGCAGAAAAACTATTTATCTGTTTCATTGGCCGTGAGGCGACCCTGGGTAGGTAAACCCTTCTGGGGCACACCCAGCCTCTATAAAGTGGGTATCCCTTAATTAGAATAGTTGATTAAGGGGAAAAATCTGGTGGTTGAGTGTGATCTCGGTCAAATCACCTCCTTGCACAACCGTAGACCAAGAAACAGTGCTTTCCCTAAATAGTACTGAACCCAAAACCCTTCATGGGTTGTAGTGCTACAGGTTTTTTTTTTTATTTTTGCTGACGTTTCGCCCCAAAGTTCAGACCTTCATCAGGACTAAGAAAAAGGTTTTTATTATTCAATGTTTATAATTCCTCATACCTGTTGGCTGTTTTTTTCTTAGCCCTGAACTTTGGGCTAGTATTTATTGCTTAGTATTTATTTATAATATTTTTTTTTTTTAACTGATCATCCCAACCATTCTTCTCTTCAATTATTCACTACAGTCAACCGTCAATCCACTATACCACTATACCTACTATACCTATCTTATTTTATTTTATTTCAATAGGTACTTCATTCATATAAAATCTTAATAAAAATGTTTTTAGATAATCCAAGATGCCAGAGCAAAGTAATGACTACCGAGTAGTCGTTTTTGGTGCTGGTGGTGTAGGCAAATCTTCGTTAGTCTTAAGATTTGTGAAAGGCACATTCAGAGAAAGTTATATACCTACAATTGAGGACACCTATCGTCAGGTAAATTGAATTTTCATATATAATTTTACTATTGTTATTTATTTGTTTAATATATATATATATATATATATATATATAATGGTATCTATTATACATAATAGTTGGGGATTTGGTCAGCCAACAATTACTTATATATATTTTAAAATTCTTTGATATTTGTGAATTTTCTCACAATACTTGCAGTTCCCAACAGTTCTACATGTGGCATTTTTTCTGTTGTCTTCAAACATAGGTTTGATAAGTGCCACAAAGAAGATTGATTTTCCTCCGGTGTCAGTTTGTTGTATGAAATTACAATCAGTAAAATTCAGCTTTTCTTTAAACGATATGACTGTTTTAGCTCTTTCACTAATTCCACACATTTTCTCTTTTTTTTTTTCCACTACTAAATTGTGTAGATTATCATCAGAAAGAGCACCTATTCATATGATAAATCCATATTGCTTTGCTTAGCCTATTATGAGAAGAAGATGAAACCTCCTCCCAAAATGGTAAATAAAACCATGTTATATGAAAAAAAATTATATCTAAAGTATTATTGTTCTTGTAAATATATTTAATAGGACATCAAGAATCACTTAAACACCATTTCATATAGGTAGTTGGTTTCTTTGTTCTTCTTTCAAAGTAATAATATTTATACATATATGAACAGTTACGTGAGATTTCTAATTGGTGCCCCGAGATACTTCCATGTCTCTCACCACTACACTGAGTTAAAGTGGCTCTTCCCCTCCATTTGAAGACAATATTTCCTAGGTACTGGAAGTTTTCAGTTCCAGCTAGCGTTTGGAGTCCTTTTTTTCAGCCATGGAAAAGGCACCATATCTAGAAGTTGATAGTTAGTTGTAGTTTTTGTTGATAGTAATTGAGATAGGTGTATGATCAAATCAAACAGTTAAAATGCAAGTAATATAAATTACTACCAAGTATGAGAAAAAAATGATTTGAATTAAAGGTAAATTTGAGAGTAATATGAAAGAAAGCAAGCGTTTATATAATGTTACTCTATTAAAATACATTTTTATAAAGTTTATGTATATATATTTGTTGAAGAGAAGAATGGCCAAAGTTCAGGCCTTCATCAGGGCTAAGAAAAAAACAGATAACAATTGGTATGAGAAATTATAAACATTGAATAATAAAGAATTAAAATTAAAAAGGTGAAAGTTATAGACTAAAAAAGTACTTTAGAATAAACTTAAAGTAAAATAAAATAGATAGAGAGAACATTAAATTAAAATAAAGTAGGTAGAATAATAAGAGTAACAGAGAACTAAGAAATAAATAATAAAGGCAACAAAGTAGGGACTAATGAAATAGACATAATCTAAATAAGGTAACATAAGAAATAAAAAATAAATTAAAAACAAAAAGTAGTGGAATGTATAAGATAAACATGAAGAATGTGTAGAAAAAAAATTAATAAATGAATAAAATAAATGGGGTAACATGGTTGCTAAAATATGAAGTAATAGTATGCTAAAAGGAAGTGAGATAATCTTAGAATTAAATGTAATACAGAGAAAAGGAATATGAATTTTTGTAAGGAAATAATAAATATAAATAGAAAATTGAGATATTGTAAAATCTATCAAAATATAATATAATATAGAAAGTCTGAACGTCGGCAATTATAATTATTTATTTTTTCTATAATTTTTTTTTACTAATTACCCCAACCATTCTTCTCTTCAATTATTCATTTCAGTCAACCATCAATCGACAATTATATATATTTATATTTTTTTAAAGGTCATAAGCTGCAACAAGAATATATGTACTCTTCAGATAACAGATACTACCGGTTCTCACCAGTTCCCTGCTATGCAGAGGTTGTCCATATCCAAAGGCCATGCATTTATACTTGTTTATTCCTGCACTTCTAGGCAGAGTTTAGAAGAGCTCAGGCCAATATGGGATGTAAGTAATTTTGTTTCTGAGATTTATTTATTTAACTTCTATTTCTTAAAATTTGAGTTCTGATCTGAACCAATTGTATGTATTCTCATCTTACAGAATTTTGACACTGAATAATTTTTTTTTTTTTACAAAACGGGTTGTTATATGCTTTTGTGCAGAGCATAGGGTCACAGAATATGAAGGTCAGGAAAATCCAAAATAGGAATCACTAACTGATTCACGGACTCGAGGGAGAAACAGGGTGCCGACCGACCTGGAATAATGGAAAATATCAGGAAATTTTCAAAACAGACGATAATTGTTAAAGTATGGGAATTTTTTTTAGTACGTAAATATCTTTTTCTAAATACAGTTGATATTTTGATAAAAATTATGAATATGTCAGCGTAATGATAATTCTTACGAACTGTCAGCTAAACTTAATTAATTAAAGTGAGAACGCTGGCAGCTTCACAGATATGTTGGGTAGTGTAGTGTCGGGAGCAGAATCTTTGCATCGATCCTCACAAAATATTAGTTTGAGTTTCATCAAATAGATCGTGAATTGATTTTAAATATTCGTTAGATTTTTTTAGTTAAATCTGCCTTACGCTGAAAGCAGAATATTGGGAAGAATCAATTTTGTTGTTGGTAGTTTGTCGTTTTTTTTGGATTTAAATTATTCACCTTACCACATTCAACATGCTGTCTCGAATAGTCTTGGAATTTTTTCATATTGTTAAAGACTTAAGTTTAATTCTTGAATCAAGCTGCTATTGGACTTTTCCCTCGCCTGTCAGCAGCATATACAAAATTTTTCTTCCACGGAAAAACTTGTTGGTTTTCCATATTTTTATTACAGTACTAAACAGAAATATGAATTTAATGCTAAGAGTGGGGAGTGACAGTTATTTTTGGCAAACATATTACATATTTATGATTTAAATTTTTTTTTAATACTATTTTTAATTAATTCATGTAGCTATTTTACTACTATGGTGGTACAATTCATTGGCTGACGAGCACTCATTCGTTCCACCCGTGGTGCCTCTTAAAAGATTATTTATTAACCATAAATGTTATAGTTGGTGTCGTATATTTAATTATTACGCTGTTTATAGTAATAAAGAAACTAAATTACTAATGAGAAACTACATTAATATTAAAATCCTTCAGAGCTCACTTTATTTTATAATAGAGAAAATCAGAGCTTTATATGTTAAGTATCAGCTATTATCTCCTCTCAGTTTATGGAAATAAAATAAAGGCTATACAAATAAGTTAATAAAAGTTTAGTTTTCTGAAATAAAAAATCTTAATCAAGTTTAAAAAATGCTTCCTCTAAAACATTATATTTGCTATTTAAAATACTAATATGTTTTTTTTCTCAAATCATTTTGTAGTCAATTTTCTTTCATGTATAATAAATAAATTCAGTTATAAATTATAAGTTTTTAATATTTGTGGCCAGACATATTAGTCAAGGAAACTATCATTAAATGGGAGAATGTCAGGAAATTTTACTTTAACTGCCTGGTTGCAACCATGAAGAGAAAACTACAATAACATTGCATGGCTGCTCAACTGTGTTGAGTTGCTAAATCACTCTGCATACTCATCAGTCCAAAAGACATTATTTAAAACCAAAATGAAAGAGCTAGTTGGGACCGTTTGACCAAAGTAAATATGTCAAAAGACCAGTGTACAGAAACGAATAAGCGAAGGCAAAGCTTAGTATATGTAGTGATAGAGGATCTCCAATGAGTCAAAAATAATAATCTCCTCCATTATCTCCATCTGCTCCCTTCCAACCTTGTGCTTCTGCAAGATATCACTTGTAGAATGCGGGATGATTTCCCTATTTCTGAACCATAACCCTTTAACTGAGAAGTTTCTCTCTCAGAATTTATCCCTATGTTTTTGGGTATGCTTTTCTTAGAAATCTCTTCTTAAAGCCCTGGTCCTGATCATTCGTTTTAAACCTGTTGCATTAAACTCTAAAATATAAACAAATCTTGCAGAAGAAGAAGAAGCATGTTATTTGGATATTTGCCCAATATATGAGCTAGGGTTTTTGACTCTCAACCATATTTGCGCCAGAGGTTTCCAATATTTCCATTTGCCTGGCTTCTAGTGTCTGGTACTCCACGGAGAGGAGCATAGGGAAGTTCAATTTCATAGCAATTGTCCATTCTGAGCTTGTGAGGACTTTCCTGTCATAAATAAATTTATTGGGCCCAAGGATTTGATTTAAAATGGAACACACCGATTCTCTGCCACTTACATTTGTTCCATTTATTCAAGGACTTTTCCTTCAAGGACTGCCTAACTTTCCTCACTAATAGTGGGACTCCTGTATTATTTGCATCGATTCCTAATAGATCAGTACACCTTTGAACTTCATTTCTTTTTTTTTTTTTTTTTTTAAACTTTTATTATGATATTTACAACTGTATTAGTATCAATACATCAAGTAAATTTGTACAGAGAAATATTATTACATGAAACACGCTTGTTGAGAAACTACCCACTGGTAGCACTCTAAAACTTCATTTCTGAAATCGAAAATCGCCTGAAACAGGGTATCTGATACATTGGCTAATTTCTGAGAAATTGACCAGTGCTGAAAAGAATTCTCGCACTGACATCGTAAAAGACCCAGGCCCCTTTATCGCCGTGGTACATGTATCATTGCCAAACCTGTGTTGGCTGGTAAACATACCATCGCCTTTACACTTCTCAATTATTACAAACTAACTGGACTTAATTACTACACAGCCCTGAAAACATCAGGAGTGATTTATATAGACACAGGACGTTTTAAGTGAGACTAAAGAATTCCCTTAATTATCATTGAAACCAGCAGCAGATTCTCAAACTACTAGAAAAGATGTGTACTTTAGTGTCACCTAGATCTTTTGAATAACGTTTGCTATTTTCATAAATTTTGATATCCAAAACCATTATAATATTAAGTTTACCAAATTATGATTATACCTAAAAATAAATATTACATGTTATCAATTTTCAATGTTCACCTTTAAAATCATTACAATACATACACAAAGCTTTCAGGCACAGTCGTAAAAGGTAGTTTTGTAAATATTTCAATGAAAAGGTGATAAATTATAATTTCTGGTTAATTTATTTCAATTGAGATGTACATAAAGCTGGAGTAAACCAAAACCACTTATTGAACTATAATTTACAGAACACATTCATAAGTTCTTAATTTGATTTTAGGTAATAAGAGAAACAAAGGGGGCTGATCTGGCATCCATACCTGTAATGTTAGTTGGTAATAAATGTGATGAATCTGAAACAAGGGAAGTTTCCACTGCAGAAGGAGAAGCTGAAGCCGCACGCTGGGGTTGCCATTTCATGGAGACTTCAGCAAAAACCAATCACAATGTAAAAGAACTGTTTCAAGAACTTTTGAATCTTGAGAAAAACAGAAATATCTCCCTTCAGCTGGAGAAAAAAGGTCAGCTCAAAGGAACCAAAAAAATCCGGGAAAAATGCCGGCTTATGTAAGACTTCCTAGTCAAGAACATTCTTTTCTTTTTTTTTTTTAATATTTGTTACATAAGATCAGCAATCTATTTTGGACACAAACTACTTTAAACTTTTATCTATGAAATTTTGTAATACTCATTTAAATTCTTTAATATATCTTGTTGTTTAATATATTCTTCTTATATATATATATATATTTATATGTGTATATTTTTTCTGTCTTTTTTTTAAGATGGTCTATATTCCTGTATACTGATATAACTATTAACAGTATCAGATGTATGGTAATCATGTTTTTACCATGAAACTCATTTAGATATAAATCATACATTTCTTAATTAAAATTTGTTTATTATTATGTATTTTAAAATCTAAAATATGTTATTTTAAATAATATGTGAGAGTTCAATTTCATCAAAAGTTGAATGAATTAATGTTTCCTTTTAAACAACTTGGTCCTGCAGGAAGATCATTATCAACTGTGCTAACAGTATCCTTCCAACTCGTGGACAGATAAGAGAGGAAAATAAGCTCATTATGAAACAGTATTATAGTAAAATAATGATTTATAAACACATTAAACAATTATTTCAAAATTTTATAAAATCAGTTTGGTCATCATTATATTTACTTACAATAAAATATTTTAAATACAAACAAAAATTTAATTAATAGTATTTTTCAGTCACAAGTTTTAAAACTTAATTACTAGTTTCGAAAAAATAATTTAAGAAATGATAGGATGTTTAAAAAGTGAGGCACCTACATTTTGAAAATAGATTAATTTCATTGCTATTAATATTTAATGAAATATGCTCTACAATGTTTTTTTTTTATCCATTCTGATATTGTAGCAGTTTAAATGGTTATATAAATTTGCTTTATTAAAAATACTCCTTTTTGTTTTTGTTTTGTTTTTTTGGTTTAAAGGAGAAAAAGGCTAGTTTGAAAAATTAATATTAGGTTTTATTAAATGAGTATTAAATGAATGAAACTTGTACTTATTTAATATGTTTTGTAATTTTCATTCAATAATTCACTGCTATAACTAGGAGACATTTGCCTGCATTGAACCAAGTCTCATATTTAGCTTATCTTAAGTTATAGATTGATGTTAATGAGCAATTAATTTTAAAAAAAAGTATTAATAAAAAGATAAAAAAACAATTATTTTTAAAATTTTACTCATGTTTCAGAACTCTTTTTTTTAAATCTAGATAGTTATAAACGGTCTCACTTAAAAAACTAGCTCCACTATTTGGACCATTGCTAACCAAATTTGACCCACAGGCTGGAGCTCAGTAAAACATAAGTAAATACTTATATGAATTTTTAAATTAAGTGCATTAATTTAACTGACAAAAATCTAAATTGGATCGATGCATTTAGGAAAGAAATCAGCCTCAAGTTTAATTTAGGAAACTTCAGCAATTTGGAAAACAGGCTTCCAACTCCAGTTAGAAATTCTTTTTTTGAAAACGTTGACTGATAGTTGTATAAGTATAATTGTAACATTAAATGATTTATATGAGGTGAACAAACACACTCCATAAAAAAAAACTCCATTTGTTTTAAAATTATATTTAATGAATAAATAATAATTCATTTTATACTCAATTTATAGTTAAGTTGAAGTTTTGAACAATTAGTGTAAACGGTAATTTTAATAATAATAATTTAAACACAAATACGTGTAAATGTAAATTTTTACCTTAGTATTGTCGAAACTAATCCTCCCACAGCAGTTAGTTAAGTTTGAAGTTTTGAACAACTAGTATAAATGATAATCCCTCAGTTGTAATCTTAATAAACCCGCAATATTTATTTTTTTGGAGAGGAGATGTGTTCCGGGTTAGCGTTCATAAAAAGACTTAAAATAGTGAAACAAATATTTTATTTCAAGCCTAATTTAACTTCACTATTTTAATTATTTTTATGACCGCCACCCTGGACCATCTCCTACCTTAATTATTTACAACGGTCAACCACCCTTTTTTTTTCTCTCTCTCTGATAAAGTACTTATTTCATAAGTAAACACAAGTACATGTAAATGTAAATTTTTACCTTAGTATTGTCTTAACTAATCATCCCACAGCAGTTAGTTAATAAACTAGTCTTTTCTTCTGATAACCATTTATTTTAAACATTGAAATTCAAATGTTATTTTTATTTGTAAAAAAAAATCAGTTTTAAATAAAATATATATTTTTTTTTTTGCATTATACACCTCTCAACAAAACTTAAATTAAAACCCAATTGTTGATACGTGTACCTTAGACCAAAAAGAGACAATGCCCAAAACATTTATTCAATTGAAAAAATCAGAATAAACATTATTTGTTGAAGGGGCGAATGTCCTCCTATTATTATCTATTAAGATTAAATAATAATGGGAGGATATAAGACCTTTTAACAATTAAGGTATATCCTAGTCAATTTTGTTTGTGCTGCTCATTCAATTTTAATCATTGGAATTTTTTGTTGAAAGGTACAGGTATATACTATAACACATAACTTTGTCTTGCTAATGTATAAAAATCAAAATTAGAAGCATAGAAACTTAAAATTTTTGGAGTAGAAGTGATGGACGCTTGACTGTGATGGTATTCCAAATTATATTTAGTTAGGGATTCTATTTCATTCAGATAAAAATGAAATAGAACTAAAACAACTGAATAAACATGGTTTTATTTGATCAGCCAATAATCAAACTTTGTAGGGTATCTTCAGGGCTTGAGTGCTAGAGTTGACTAAGGTGCCACTGGAACTAAGGACAAATTCAAGTTGTATAAGTTGAACTTGAGTTTCTCAGGTTCAGTCAACTCTAGCTGCTAGTATAATAAAAAACAAAAAAAATATTTATTTTATTGTTTTTGTTATGTTTTCTGATGAGTATTCCCTTATAAATTATAACTTGTAAACTTTGTTTTTATATAAAAGAGAAATTATAAAAAAAATTATTGATAAAGATTTACTTCTAAGAATACACTACTGTTTATAATATTGTGAATGTTGAGATGAGTTCATTTAAAAATTATTTAAACTGTTCTGGCGTTCATTAAAACTATAGGAGTATTTTATTAGTCTGTGATATGTGCAGGTTGAATGACAGTGATAGAAGGTGCTGTTTTTACTTATTAATCTTTGAATAGAGAATTTATTAATATTTCATTTGTTTTCCTCACTCTATCCTAAAATTGATAATTATTCTATCAGTACACCATCTAAGAACGTTTCCTCTTATATGAAATGTACTATAAATAATTATGGGGCCAAAACGTTGTTGCGAATATCATATTTAAAAATTGTTTTACTTCTTAAGGGAAAGAGCAAATTCAATCCGGCCAAAAGTTTTTCAAATGCTCTCTCCTAATTTCAGCTCTTAAGGCAGAGAAGAATTAATCAGATTTCTTTTGGGAAAAACAAAAAAACTAAACCTTGTATATGCTGTGTGCTTCTATGTATGTATTCATAAAAGTTTTCTAATATGCTTTTTAAATTGCTAAATTGGTAAACACCAATAGAAATCGATATTGCTGGAATTGAAACTGTTGCTCATCCATCCAGAAAAACAACTATAATTTCATAGTCACTTTTTAATTTTTTCAACAACGATAATTATGTGAACGTTGGTAAGGAGCAGGGGTGAAAATTGGATCCAAGGCTATATTGTTTGTTAGAAAATACTATTTAAAAAAAACAATTTTGTTTATTATAATAAAAAAAAAAAGGAGAAATTAAATCAAATTAATTCTGAATATGTATTAATAGGTATTTTTTTTATTCTACAGATTAAAACGAAAAATGATTTGCTTATATATAACATGTTGGTAAAAAAAAAATTGTATTTAGTGAGAACATAAACTAAACCCCTGCCTTATGTAATCAGGGTTGGTAATACTTATTAATTTAAGAGTACTTTCGCTAAGTTTGAATCCTTTTTTCAGTAACCTCATTTTATATATACAGTGATTGCTAGTAAAACAACGAAAATTTCCAATGAACTTTTTTTACTAATAAATAATATGTTTGCGTGATTTAGGCAGTCTGTGATAGTTTTTCTCTATTTTCATCGATTAATAATTCATACATATTAAAGAACAACAAGCTGCTCTCTTTCGATAACTAATAAGCTTGATTTGCCATATTTTGTTCTAAAAAGAATTTAAAAATGAGAAAAATTCCTTTTGAATATGTACTTAAAATATTAAAAACAAAACAAAATGTATTAACATAAATGAAAACACTAGGAAAACAACGATTTTATTTTATAATAAATGTAAGAAAAAATTATGGATATGTACTATGTAAATCTAAAAAAAATGAGTGAACGCCGATGTAAAAAATTGTAAATTTTTTTAAATGTAGATAAGTATTTAACTTGTGTTGCTCAACCTACAGGATTACATATAGACGCGGAAAGCCAAATAGCTTTTTATATTGATGAGGGATTCATATAGATGTAAATTTTATCCAAACATGAATAGTACTGTTGGAAGTAGCACGATAATAGATTATTAATTACACCTCTGCTTTGATATGTTCACAATTTGACAATAAGCTAACTTGAGATTTTGAAAATGTACAATGCATGAGGTAAAAAAAAATGTAAACATTTGTATTCTAGCTTTAGTCCACATATCAATAGAGAATCCTATATATTTTAGACCAGCGAACGGGATAATTGTCTTGATAAACATTGTACATTTAATTACACATAGATGGAACGTATGTATATTGTATATAAAATAGTAATTTTTTGTATTTAGAGCTTTTAGATGTTATGTTACGAAAAGATTGTACACATTCAATAATTATGTGGCTAAGAAAAATTGACTAAAATACATTGTTTTATTCTTAGCCTTAGAGTTAAAAATAAAAGATTAAGCAATTTTTGGTATTATGGATATACCTAGAAAATAGGCTGTTAAATATTTATTACAAATATAATTAATATTAGTATTTATTGTACATTTTGAAGTCATTAGTGCCCTTATTTGAATAAGAAATAAAATATGTAGTCTGAGATTTATTTATTTATTTTTCTTCCATTTCCAGGCTTAAAATACAAAACATTGCTTATTGCAATTAATATTGTAGCTTTTACCAGTCAAATTTGAATACTTCATTTTACCAAATAAAATTGTTTTTCCAAAAAAGTAATTTTTAACCAATTTAATATTTCTCTATTTACCTAATATATTTCAAATTCTGAGTAGAGTATCATGTAATATTGTAAGAGAAAAACAACAGTTAATAATTTTGCAGTATTTCAGAGGATTTAGTTTCAAACTTACCAAAAACTTTCTTAATTGTTATACTTTTTTTTTCTTTAGAATTCATTTAATTTACTTCAATGTTATTTTTAATGGCATTAACTTAAGAGAATTAAAGTAATAGTTAATCAATGTTGAACAATATAAATTGTTCTTTAGCCTGCCTTTAACACGAACCTATGTTTCGCACATCCGGTTATACAAAGATCACAATGGTTTATATTTATTACTATCATCTATTATTTGTAAGTACAAACCTTAGATCGTACAGGTACAGTTTGTTTTAGGAAAAATAATTTATGGAAGTATATAATATGTAAGTTTTTGACCACCTAAATAATATTGGTGGTAAATCTCGCACCTCTAATAATTATTTTCCACAATAAATAATTAGAAAGTTTTTAGAATCAATTAATATTAAATGAAATTCTAAAATTTCCTTAGCTTTCAATGCACCATTGAACAAATTAATTTTATTTAGAATAAATTATCTTTATTTAAAAAAGAACAAACCTAAATAATCCACAAGCAATAAATCAAAAATATAAGTACTTATAACTTTTCAATTGATTCCTTATTGAGTTAATAACATAATATTGGCATTTTGGAGATGTAGAATCAGAAACTGAAAAAAATTGCAAAATTATAATTTTTAAAAAATTGACTAAAGAATAATTAAATTTGTTTTGATAATTATGACTTTTTAGAAACAATCACCTGATAGGCGTGTGTTATACAACCTTGTTTCATTAACTCACTAAATAACAGAATAAAAAGTTGAAATTTCTCAAATTTTTAATAATAATAGCATTGTTAACCTTTTACGGATGATGAGCAAAAAGGATGAAGTGTCCTTCAGGACTGAATACTTTCCATCATCTCTACTGACCATTTACGCTTTTTATTTAAGACATCATTCAAAAATGCCCCTAATCTCCAGTCACAGAAAAATTACCTACTGCCTCCTGAGAATACCTCCTGGCCTATAGTTTGAAAGTAAAAACGATCACTCTGGAACCCGTTGTTTAATGAGAAAGGGTCCAACTCACATATGAGTCCACCTTCTCCTGGACCCAATTCCGTCTCGATTTATATATGAGTCCACTGTCGTCAAAGAGTTAAAATTACTATAAAATTTAATTTTCAATAATCATTATCATCCATAGGCGCTATGTACCTAGCAGAACCTTGGCCTCCAAACTGACCTGTCTTTAGCCACTCCTCTCCATCCGTCAAAACCCAGGCTCCTATGATCTTTTTTGACATCTCCCCGCCAACAAATTCAAGGCCTGTCTCTTTTTCTTCCTTCACCTAGGTGTTCTTCCATCATCATTGTAGGGAGCCTGCTATGTTCCATTCTTTGCACATGACCCAACCATCTTATATTTTCCCATTTATGATTTTATGGAGCATTTTATAGCTTCTTCACCTCATAATTGTCTTCATAACCCAGAGATTTCCTTCTTTGAGTTTGACCATAGATTTTGCGAAGGATTTTTCTTTTCCACATTTTCAATAGCCTCTGTTCATGGAATTTGAGTGTTCAGAACTCCCTTCCATATATAACAAATGGTTGCTGGACCGTGTTGTATACTGTTATTTTGAGAGCTTCTGGAATATCTTGATTTTGAAAGATTTTTTTTAGGGACTAATAGCACCTATTACCAACTGCAATAACAGAAAAAACCTGCACCACTAAAACCCATGAAGTGGGAGGTGATCAGGCATTATATATATATATATATATATATATATATATATATATATATATATATATATATATATATATATATATATATATACATATTTATATATTAATATATTAAGAGAAAATTTATAAGAAAGACTAAAAATATTAGAATTGGAAGGAACAATTTTTTTTCTTCTACACTTTCTGCTTTAAAATTCAAGAATCAATTTGATTTCATAGATCGTGGTACCTAAAAATCCCTCCCGAACTCCTGATTTAAATCCCATAAAACACCCATATGATGAAATAAATTACTATATAAGAAAATGATGGATAAGAAATAATGAAAAATTCAAAAAGGGATTGTATTTAAATGAGAAAAATAATGGAGAAATTACAGCAAAATTGGTACGATCCATGAAAGCTCAGTATTTTGAAGTTGTCATATACAAAATAAAGGATCCACTATTTTATACTATGTAGTAAACAATTAATTACAGTGTTCCCAGACATTTTTTTCCCCATATATGAACAAAGGTTACATAATAATTTCATTAACTATGAATTCATAATAATTAAAAAACAAACAAAAATATTGAATTATTTTCTACAAAAATAAAAAGTTAACATTTCTATTATTTAATAAAATGGTTTGCACAAAAAAAAAGAAGAAAATTCTGTGATTATGATAAAACACAGGTCTTTGTTGTCCTAGTATATATGTCCTCCAAGTACATTTAAACAATTTTCACATTCAAGAGAAAAATCTAGCTTGCCTAATACTCCAACTACCATGATTACAATAATTGATAATTATTTCATTTTCCCGATCCACTTTAATGATGATATATCTGATTTAGATAAATTGAAATTGTACTGCAATACATGTTTCTACATTTGAATTCAATATTGTATGAGATCAGAATCTTGGATTTTCTTATCCATAATCTTACATTCTAATCTTACCTATCGAACTAACATTTAAGATTTCAAAACATACTGAGCTTCATGGTATATAGCATGACAGCTTGAAATGACATCAAAGTGATCATTGCTCAATATAATAGTAATGATAATGTTAACAATAAAAAAAAGTTATTGAAATCAATATAAATATTTATTATATACACATTATTTACAAACACATACAAACAAAAAATTATTTTCTTGTTTGTTGTTGAATGATCAGTTTCTTTTTCTGTCTTGTAACTTTTGTAGTGTGCGGGGAAGAAGTTCCTTGAAGCTTACGTAAACTCAATTGTGGTATAGCATTTTGTGAAGAAGTCGGAGGAAGAACTGCCCTTGGTTCGTCTGCTTTAGTATCTGCGCTGCTACTGGTTCCTGTATAATGCCTAAACATAAGATGCAACTTTTCTTCATGCTCTCTGTGGACCATCACTAGCCTTCTTTCATTTTCTGCATTAGCCTGTTGAAGAGCACTACTGAGTGCTTGAATTTTCCATGCCTGAGCCTCAATTTGATGATCCAAATCTGCAATTTGCTGTTCCATTTTACGTCCAAATTCACGAAGGTCAATCGCTTTTTGAAAATATTTATACAACAGAAATCTCATTTCAGGTTCAGAAAGTTTCATCAATCTATCTAACAACATTTGTTCACCTTCATCAACATCACTTTCTTCAAAGCTTTTTCTTCCACAAATAGTACCATTTTTAAATTCTATTGTAGTATCAACAGCTTCTATGGCTTCATCAAGTTCCAGGAATCTCCTTTCTTCACAATGTGAAAATATTCGATCTCTATTCAATTTAGCATCCAGTTTCTTCCTCTGTTCAAGAAGAAAGTCTCTTGTTATCCTGAGATTGGTAATTTCATCCCTCAGAACCTTGTCATTAAGACAATGATTTTTTCCTACTAAAATATTTGCTGATGACTTATGATTTGATTTCACCTTTTTAGATTCTTTCAAGGACAGCTGATGACTTTGTTGAAGAGGTTTGATATATTGTTTTTTACTTTCCTTAAGACTTTTAAGTTCCTCATTTTCACTAGATTTATCACATTTCTTTGGTTTTTCCTTAGACCTTTTACTTTCGTCAGTTTTAGAACCATTTTGTTCTTCTTCTTTTCTCAGCTGCTTCAAAAACTTCTTTATCTTTTTCTTTGATTGAGTTAAGCTTGCCTGCAGAACAAATTCTTTTTTTGTGCTATCAAGCATTGATGGCAAATTTTCAGAATCATCTGGATTAGACGGCAATATACTTTTTCTTCTTTTAATGTTGGTTGAATGAAAATTTGATCTTTGTACAACTGCATGACAAACCGGAACATCAAGGGATTTGATAGGACCTATACTATTTGAAACTAACACTTCAGTTTTATCAGAAAACTTGTTTAGTAAAAATTCTAATTTTTCAGCAAAATCTTGCCTTTTTGATTCAACTTGAGATAAGTCTACTGCATCGTCAATTTCAGCACCACTATCACTATATTCAGTTTCAGATTCACTACCTTTCACAGATGATTTTCCATCAGACTCAGTAACTTCATCAATCCTGTCCAAAGAATATGTTTTTTCTTTTATAATAGATCCATCATTGGTAAAACAATCTGTACATTCCTGTTTTAGATAAAGCCATTGCTCTATTTGTTCTCGAGCATCATTTGCTATGCCTTGTTTTACCAAAGTCATAAAAAGACCCTCAGCATTACTAACTAATCTTTGCCATTGAGATGTAGCAAATTCTAAACTAAAAGAATCAGCTCTTGGCCTTTCTTCTGAACTGAAGTTTAATTCTTGTGAACACATTTGAAGATCAGATTCATTGTTTTGGGGCTTTAACATTTTGTTTGTGAAGTAAATTAAACTATATTAAAGTATTTTAAGGCTGCTAATAATACAGTAACATAATAGCATTTTGTTACTTGTTTTCAATATGAAAGAAACAGAAATGTTTAAAAAAATATAGCTTATCTGTTGGTAAACACGTACAAAATCAAAACAATAAGGAAGGTTATCCAGGTTACTTAACAGTCTAGGTTAAATTTTTGCCTCTACTGGTTAATAGGAATGTTCAATACCAATCGAAATTACTTTGTATCGATATTACAAATCGTATTTATTTTTTACCTGTACTGATACAGTGTAGTGTGAAGGAATCTCACAACATCGCAGAATTACAATTTCAAAAATTAAAATGAAAAAGATGAAGAAAATGAAATATCAGAACTGAAAATAGTACAGAACATCGATGTTACTGTTAGTATCTATATCAAATCAGGAAAATCAAATCTAAATATGCGTTTGACATTTTACAAAATATTTAAATAGGTTGGAAGTCTGAAGAAATCAGATTTCCAAATACCTGTGGCTGAAAAAAAACTAATAAAACGAAAAGGTCCTGTCTTCTGGAATTTTCTCTATCAAACTTTTCAGTATTTAAAATAATAAATGAAATATCAGTGTGTTCACTTTTTTTTTGTAGGAACATTGGCATTTTTAAAAAAAAGTTACAAGAAACACAATGTGCAATTTATAGAGATGTGCGTAGGGGAAAGTGTACGGTAGGAGGGTTTGGCCTACCGTGTACTTTGGAATTTCTTTCCATTCATAGAGTACTGCAGAGACCTAATAAGTTGTAGTCAGTTGGAGTTAGGTCTGGTGAATAGGGAGGGTTTGGCAAAAGGTTCCATCTAAGGCTTAATAATTTATTTCGAATGAGCAATGATGTGTGGGGCCTAGTGTTGTCTTGGTGGAACACAACACCCTTCGGATTTGCCGGTTCTGGGCTTATATTTAGATGATTGATCCAATTTTGCTAATTGTGAACAGTATTGAGTTGAATCAATTGTTTGTCCTGATGACAATAGCTCATAGAAAATAACACCCTTGAAATCCTAGCATATGGAAAGCATTATCTTCTTCGGATACAATCGGTGTTTTGACATTCTTCTAGGAGCCTCACTACTAGTCCCCAACATTTTCTATGGACTACATTATCGTAAAATATCCATTTTTCATGTCCTGTTATCAACCTTTTAATTATATATTTTGCTTAACGATACTCGTGATTTTCTAAAATAAATTGTTTGAAAACATGTTGATATTTAGACAAATAAAATAAATGAGAAAAAAATATGAAAAGTTGTTAATAGTTTTATCTAGGGCTAGGGAACAAAAGAAAGTCAGAGGTACTTGACCTTAGCGGCAGAATTAATGCATCAGCAAATTTCGAGCGACATTTTTTTTTTAGTTTTAGCAGCGCTGGTTTGAATCTGGCCTGGGTGGGTTGAAATTTATTTTAATGTGGACCAGATGGAAGATATTTATCTTCCCACTCTGGTTAGAATAGGTAATCTTGTACCTCAAGAACAACTCCCACTTTATGCCAGAAATGGCTAAACAGGAGGTAAAGGAAAAATAAAATCAGGTGAATTCAGTGTGATAGGATGTTCCCCATGCACTTTGACGTACAAATCCGAGAATATCTTTACAAAAATATTGAGTCAACATTGATACAAGTAGGCAGCATAGACCAAACTAAGGTGAGGACGGGATAGCCGAGCGGGCTTACGCGTGTTGAGCACCTCGCGTTCCTTGGCAACCTGATACCAGGAGAAGGAGTCACAAATAATTACGAGTTCAAATCCCCGTGCGCCGTATGACTTTTAACTCGGTATAATTTCTCGCCTCCCCTCCCGCTCCAGGAAAGACTCCGTTTAGTCTAAAATACGAAGTAGAGGAGACAAAAAAACAAAACGAAGTTTATACCGGAGTAGGCTAACAAAGGTTATATGGAGCGGTCTAACACGTCTTTATTACATATGTTGTTTGGCAACCTGATAAATCTTAGATTAAGAGTCCGAATTCTGGTGCTGGAATGGGAGGCTATCACTGCCATCTCCTCTTGGCTGGTGAAAACTCCGAAGAGACGAGGTTGAGCGGTCTGTGGGCAAAAGATGCCTGATGCCTCTGCCTTTAACTCTAGCATTGAAAGCCTCGCCCTTTCTCCTGGCCTGGGAAAAACACAAAATGGCATGAGCTGCTACATAAATGACTTTTTAATTGTCTATGTAGGTAACTGGCTTATGAGCAGACATCTTGAGAAAAGACAAACCTCAGAAGGTCCTTCAATTATGTTTGGTAAATTGACCACTGTATTACACTTTGAAGTACTGGGCAATTTGTCACTGCATATGTACATTAGCATGAAGAGCTGAAGGAGAAAAGAATCACAGTTTATACCAATATCCTGGCAGTAATAGATGCGCTCAACAACTATTATATAAAATTTAATGTTTTTAAATGCTGCAATAAAATTATGAAAAATTAAGGCAAAAAAAGGTCATTACTGAGCAGAATTACAGCAGTATATATAGTTCAATCGAAACTAATTGTAATAAATTTTAAGTCAGGCTTTTGTGACAGACACCTTCATACAGCTCATATGAGGATAAGCTTTTTCTGTCGGTATGACAGGTTTGCTGCTAGACATATGCTCAATTTGTTTGAAGAGGACTGTTTGGTGGATCCTAAGAACTGTGGCTCATTAATCTCAAAAGACTTCTATAATTTGCTTTAAATTTACAGCTTTACCAAGACGCTCAAAAGGCTTAACGATCTCGATTCACAAAAAAAAAAAAAATATATATATATGAATGTGTGCGCATGGGATGAAGACATGTATTACTTAAATATTGATACATTCAATTAATCTTTGCATTCTCCTTTTTTACATTAAAAACATAATTTTTGATTTATTAGTTAATACAGCAGTAATTTTCTCCTTTCTTATACATTAGCAACAGTTTTTATTAATTGTTCATAAATTGAAATCCCCGTGAGGAAAATATTTTTATTCATACATTCATCATTATCATGGAGTCTTGCTGGAGTATGATTAAAAGCTGTAAACCCTACTGCTGGCACTCCAACCTGTAATAAAAATGTTATACAACTAAATTACACTTTATATTAAAAAAAAAAAAAAGGTACTTGTGAGCATTAGAGGATCCAGGATTAATTTTGGAGGGGGGCTTCGGCCTGAAAGCTTTTTTTTTTATATAAATGACGATAATTACTTTGGAAAAAAAAGAAAGAAAGTAAATATCTATATGAACTGGTGTTTAAGTGATTTCTTAAGTCCCTTTAAATGTAATTACACAAACAATAATACTTTAAGGGATAATTTTTTTATATATTTTTCCATAAAACGTGGTTATATTTTACCATTTTGGGGGGCTTCAGTCCGAAAGCCCCCCCTCCCCCTCCCCTGAAGATCAACCCACTTGCGAGTCTGCAGGCTCTACGGACTACTATCTGCCAATGTTTATAACCTGAACACTGAATGTTTATAATCTCTATCTTCATATGAAATTAGACTCTCCTATAATAAGAAATATAAATATATTTGGTGTTGCCTCTTTTTTGCCTTTATAGTATATTATATATTTATATATTATATTAAAATATATATATATATATATATATATATATATATATATATATATATATATATATATATATATATATATATATATATATATATATATTAATAAGAAATATAATTATTATAATAATAAGAAATATAAACAACAACAAAACTTTAAATAACAAGATAACTGCAGATAGCAGTCCATAGAGCCCATGTTGCTCATAAGTACCAACAAAATTGTATAGATAGTGTGTTTTAAGTATTTTAAATTTGAAATATTTTAGTTGTGTTCTGATTCAGTATATTGTTGTCCCTTCTAATCTTGTCCTACAACCTATTTTTCTAAATATACTATTTTTTACCAAACCAGTGCCCATGGGAACCATTATGGTTGCATTATATCATGTTTGCCCATGGGAAAAATTGTGCCTGCTTATCCCAAACCTGTTACAGCAATCACTATGGAACTGGTCACTGCACCCACTTGTTGCTGTTCAGAGTTTTTAAAATAAAATATTTATTAAGTAATTAATTGGAAATATAATCATGTTTCTTTGAAAATAGTCAGTATTGATATATTTTAACAATATTTTCCAGCCAATCCTTGTCATAATTTTTATCATTCTTTTGTCAAGAATAAAAATTAAACTACAAATTCAAAATTTTGCATTCAACTTATCTAATGTCTCAACGGCACCCCATGGAAATAATGGAAGGACAACCAGGTGAAGAAAGAAGGAATAGGCATGCATAGACTATGATGAACATACAACGTAGGGTCTCAGAGACCTGAGGTCACTGGGAGTGAGACATTGGAGAGAAGTAACAGGTGACCAGTCTGAGTAGAGGAAAATTGTTGAGGAGGCCAAAGTCTTCATGGGTCAAGGGAAAAAAAAGAAGAAGTAATAAGAAGAACAAAAATATAGTTAGACCTCTGGATAATTAACTGATTAGATTGACCTACAGTAAAAATTAATCTTGTTTAAGGAAAATATTAAATAATTTTAAAATAACATATTGATGGTTGACTGTAGTAAATGATAAAAGAGGAATCGGTTGGGTTGTTCAATCAAAATACAAAGTAAAATTGTATTCACCAACATATTATTATTTTTTTTACTGTTAATAGTTTCTCATACCTATTGTTGTCTTGTCTTTTCCTAGCCCTGATGAAGGCCTGAACTTTGCGTCAAAATGTCGGCAAAAATAAAAATAAATATAATTTATTTATTTTTGCTTTGTTTTTTGACTGAACACCCCAACCAACTTTTCTTCTAATAATTTCCAAAAGGAATTATGAAGTTAAAATAGTTATTAACAATTTTACACTTACTCCTCTTGCAAATCTAGCATCTGTTGCTCCAAACAGGCTGCATACTTTATACTTCACACCTCTATAACATTTCATAAAAATAAACTGTAAAAGTATTATAACTAAAATAACTAATAAAAAATGTTATATGATATTATATAAATTATTGTGATATAATTATTCTGTAATCAGGCATGAAACTTAATTGAGGTAATGGATTAGAAATTTAATTAATATAATTTTAAAACCATTCATATAAATAAAATAAAACACTCTAAAAATCAATATTGCTTTATAAAAAATTATTAGGACTAACAATTTTATTATGTTTCCTTACCATTTATATCAAAAATCAATAAAGATTTGTTTAAATAGTGAAATAAAAGGGATTTTTATGTTGTATGTGTTTTAATATGCTTACAGTGATTTCAATGTAGATTCAATTGAAGTCCAGAATGGATTTTTACTATTTAAAATTGTTGCAGGGACTTTTACATCTTTTTGAATATATTCTGGATATACTCCTTCTCCTGCTTTTTTACAAACATCCTGAAATTTCAAAATAATTCACTTTTGGTTTATCCAGTTCTTAATTATAAAGATTTTTTGTTCAAATAATGTTATGTCTGTATAACTCTCTTCTATAAACACTCTGGTCAAATCCGGCCCGCCTAACAGTTGAAGGCACATACCTCGTCTTCTCCCTTCATTAAGATCACAGGGCTCTAGATACATTTTTTGTAAGTCCTGATAAAGGCAAGATCAGCTAACATCAAATGAGGTAAGCGTCGTCTTTGGTTGATTCATTTTTCAAGTTCACTCGACCCTTACCTGGGTCGGATGTGACCCAATCTTTATAATGAAGTTCCTAACTCAACAATAATGGGATTCAGCAGTTCGAAAATTGTTTTCACCACAATAGATGAAATGGAAGGAATTTAGATGGCAACAAGATCTATCTTATGAGGAATTAAGGATGGTTAGGAAGATGTGCTGTCAAATATTGATGCAAGTGAAGGTTTATTTCAAATCGATGAAACCAATGATTTCATTGTGTATCTCTTTGTGATATATTTGTAAAATATATTTTACAGCTTACTGATTCATTGAAAGAAAGCATTAGAAACGTAACTCCCGGCAATTGGTTTGCATTTTTAGAGATAACTGGTGAACTCCAAAGGAGACTTTAAAAACAAAAGAAAAAGATGACTGGGGACTCTTAAAAAAAAATAATTTCAGATTCCACCTTCACTTATATCTATAGCTCATGTCGGCACACCACGATCCGCCTACCAGGAAAACATTATGATGGTTTTATATTCTCCCAAGAGAAATTAATATGTTTATTTGATCTCTTCAATGTCTTTTGGGATAACCTAATTGGAAAATGTAAATCAACGAATTTTATAATATGATCAAAGGAGGTGCAGATGTGTTGGACAAGTTTTGTCAAGAAAAAATCACTAAAATAGTCTGTGGGATTGGTATTCTCGACATTGCAGCAGTAAATACTTCCATAGTATTAAAAATTCCATTTATATATTTGTTATTTAATGTAAATTAGTTCTTTTTATAAATTAGCAGAGTTTTCATCAATATGATAGTTACTAACAGACTAATACAAAATAATGATGATTTTTTAATGTTTAACATGCCTTAGCTATGTAAAAAGTTCTTGTTTAAAATTCAATAAAAGAAACTACACATTTATATCAAGTTTTTTTTTTCCTTGTTCAAAATTGCAATTATGGTGTAATGGGTCAGATATGACCCAATGTTTATGTTTGTGTGGCCAGGGTCAACGTTTATAGAGGAGGGTTATGATTTATTGGGATTATTTTATAAATTTAATTCCCCAATAATAAACCTAAAGGTAAGTTAATCATGAAAATTCAATGTCATTTCATTAGTGGTAGTTTAAATAACCATTAAATTTCCTATCTCTGAAATTACTAATAAAATTTATAAGGAGACTTATTACATATATCCACTTTTCCATTTCATCATGATCACCATCTGCTGCTATCCTTAGATCAAATCCAGCAATAATTTCTGGTGGCACTACATTATTCTGGACTCCACCCTAAATAAGGAAAATGAATTAAAAAGAAATAATTAACAAAATGTAAAATTGTGTATCATATCAGTACAAAATAAAGTTGGCCAACAAAATTTAATGAGTAGAAAAACAAGATAAATAATCAACATTAGATCAAAGGTGGACACCTTTCATTTTCAGAAAGTTGGAAAAATTACTAATTGTGGATTGATGGTTGACTATAGTGAATAATTGAAGAGAAGATTGATTGGGGTGTTCAATGAAAAAAAGAAAAAAAAAAGAAAAACAATTACTAATTATAAAAAAAAAATACTAATTATAAATTTGTTATAATGCTTTAATTTAACCATGTATATTCATTTCTTTTTTTTATTTAATTCCACTTACAGATTACTTATCTATTCTCTGGAGGATGTGATACCAATATAATTTAATAAGTTAGTCAAATTCATTGTTGAACATACAGATGTCCAGTTTCAAAACAAAAATTGTCAATTGTCTGTTTTTGAAGCAACTGACTCTTAATCATTTTATTTTTTTTAAACTTCAGCCTTTATTAATGCATTTATTTACATTTATTTTTAAAATGGGATCATCATCATCATAATCATATTTCTCTTTACCGCTTATGCAGTGTGAGGTTGCTTCTTGTAGAGCTTGGACCAGGTGGACCTTTCCAGTACCAGCTCTCGTCTCCTGTTCCATTCCAAACCTCGCTTCTGGAATGCATCTCGCACGCCCTCTTCCCAGGAGGTTCTGGGTATTCCTCTCGGTCTCCTACCCTGCATGCGAGTCTCATACGTCTTCCTTGCGACTCTGTTCCGATCCATACGGAGGAGGTATCCAAACCATCTCAACTTGTGTTCTTCTATTATGGTTTCGACCGCTTTGGCGTCGAAATTGGTCTGGATTGTAGTATTGCGAATTCTGTCTCGTCTAGTCTTTTCCTCCACTTTTCGCAGGTATCGCATCTCTAGAGCCTGGATCTGGCTCCTGTGTTTCGAAGTAAGTGTCCAGGACTCGGAAGAATACTGATAATACTGACAGTATAGGAAGGAATATTGATCTGTAGACCGCCATTTTCGTTTCCTTGGTCACCTCTTTTCGGTTCAGAAAGCCTTTCCTAAGCGAGCCGAACATTCTTCCAGCAGCTCCTATTCTCTGCCTTACCTCCTTGTCAATATATCCATTTTCGTTGAGTTGAGCACCCAAGTATTTGAAACTTTCCACCTGCTCTAAAATCTCACCGTCGACCCTCAATACCCTCATAACCCTGTGAGATTTTCTTCCAATGCGCATGCATTTTGTCTTCTCAGGGTTAATTTCCATATTGATTTCTCTTAAATCTTCCTTTAGGATACTAATGTTGTTCTGGAGGTCATAGTCATTCTGGGCCAATATGATGAGGTCATTCTCAAACACCAGCAGAGAGTATAGAGTCGGCTGCATATCTCTGTGACCCAACTTAAAACTTCGCATCTTCTGTTTTGCTTTTCCCAGCACCAGATCGAGAACTAGCACGAAAAGAAGAGGGCCCAGGCTACAACCCTGTTATATGCTCAGTGTTGTTTTGAACTCTTGAGAGGTATGGTTTCTTGTTCTAACAAGATTTCTCGTATTTCCGTATAAACTGCTTACGGCCCTTATAAGTCCCTTATTTACAACTTTTTCAACTAGAGCCTCAATTATATCCTTTTTCCTAATCCGGTCAAAGGCTTTGCAAAGATCTACAAAGCACACTGAGAGTTCCTTTCCCCTCTCGACAATCTTCGCTGTGATTTGTCGCATAGTGAAAACTAGATCCTGTGTGCTTCTTTTACTCCTGAATCCATACTGCTCCTCTTCAATCTTGGATTCTACAGTTCTTCTGACTCTTGCCTCTAGGATTTTTGAGTATATTTTACTGGGAACACTAAGGAGCGAAATACCTCGATGATTGTTGCAGTCTCTGTTGTCTCCCTTCTTATATATTGGCACTATGGCTGCGACTTCTCAGTCCTTCAGGATCTTCTTCTGTTTCCAGACCAGATTCACAAGATGGAGTAACATTTCCTGGCCTTTACTTCCCATAAACCTTATCATTTCCAGAGTGATTCCGTCCAGTCCCGCCGACTTGCCGAGTTTCTTCTTGGCGATGGATTCCAGCAATTCTTCTTCATCATTGTAATCGTCTTCTTCTGAGGAATCCTCCTCTACAACCTGGATCTCATTTAGGTTCTAATCTGTTCCTTCCAGCAGCTCTTTAAAATACTCTCTCCACCTCTCCATTATCTCATCATCCCGCCAGACAATGTTCCCCTCTCTGCTCCTATTTCCTTTCAATGTGGTGGGTCTCTCCTTGCGCATTTCTTTGATTGCTTTGAAGAATAGTTTTTGATTTTCTTTAGCGTTTTCTTCAAGTTTGTGCCCCAGATCTGCCCACGATTTCCTCTTGGCTAGAAGTACTTTACTTTTTGTTTCCTTTCTCTTTTCTTTGTACTTTTGGTGAGCAATGGATGTTCTTTGGCTCATGAAGTCTTTCCAAGCTCCTTTCTTCTCCTTAATAGCTCTCTTTACATCCTCTGTCCACCAAGCAGTTTGCTTGAAATTTGACCCAATGCTCTTCTGACCACCGACGAGTTTCACGGCATCAAGAATGATATTTCTAAATGCTGTCCAGTTCTCCTCAATATCATCGCTATCCCATGATAGATATCTTGCGACATCCTTTCCACTTCCTCCTGATAGTATTGGGCCATTTCATCCTCCTTTAAAGTGGGATAACAAAATTAAATTCAAAAACTAAAGTTAGAAAAATAAAAACAATATAAATTTTTTTTCCCCAACAATAAATAAACACTGCATAACTTCATAATAAATAGGAACTCAGTGGATTATTTGATATACATCTCATATGAAATAAGAAATGATTTCATAGAAAAGAAAGCAGAGCATAATGGCAGTCTTTATAAACTTTAAAGCACCATCTGAAGTCTAGAGGAAAATACTGTTATGAAACATTAGTAATATGGGTATAGGAGAATGGATATGTTCACGTGCATTTATTCTTTCTAGGTCCAATGGTACATTCAGGTCAAATATAATAGTATAGTTCCTCCTTATAAACAGACAAAGAAAGGGATGTCGTCTAATCCTGCTCACTGCAATGATTGATAATGTAATTAAGATGATAAGAATTCAGACACCGGTCTTAGTACAGAACTTAGTGATTGTGGTTCCTAGCAGCCACATAAAGTCTTCCTAAATACTGTGTTAATGTTACTACATAACTAGACAGTGGACAATCAGTTTGAGGTTTTAAAACTGAGTAGCAGTTACCCTCTTGACTGAACGAGTAGCAGTTACCCTCCTTACCGAACAAAATAACTCGGAAATTATATATGACAATGAGAACCTGTCTCAGACTGTTTCTGAAACATCCCTAGGTATCAGACTGGATAGTAAACTTGGTTAGAAGATTTATTTAGAAAAATAGTTGAGCAAGCAGAAGGTTGAGTTTAATAAAAACACAACCAGGAATTAAAAGGGGCACTGATGGTCCTGGCTAACAAATTGTATATGAGACCAGAAATGAAGTATAGAAGTGAGGTCTTATTGACTGTGTCAGAGAACTCGCTCCATGCTTTGGATGGCATGCAAAACAAAGCTTTAAGGCTGGCATAGGAACAGAAAAATCTATAGCAGTTGCAGCTCTCTAGATTCATACTGGTATTAAATTCCATCAAAGAGGAAAAGAAGTGGTGGCTGTAATTCTCATTGAAAGAATGAAGCAACTTTGTTTGAAGTATTGCATTATTTAAGAAACATCTCTCCAGTGACTTATGATGCAAAAATCATCATCAGTCCAAATTAAAAAAATGTTGGAAGGAGGACTGCCTGGAGCACAAAATTATGATCTAATGCAACCGATCTGTAAGTACTTGGCAACTGAATGGAAAATGAAAGAACTCGGACTCGGAACCACTGTTGCTACCCTGAACAGAATTGGTTCCACACATACCAGGAACTGCTTGTCGAAATGCCTGTCCGAACAGCATAATTAGCACCTCTATACGGACTCAGACACCCTTCCTGAACTTGTCCAGGGTTTTTATTGGCCCTTGGAGGTGACCCATTACAAACCCTCCACGGATCCAGACACCACAGCACAGTCTGTGCCCTGTGGAACTTAGCCATTTAAAATTAATATATATATTAATTATTATTGTTAATTAATTTTATGTACATAAACAAAATTATTAACTTTGTTTTAAATAATTGCTTACTGGCAGACAATACAGTCAAAAGGCAAGAGGAATAAGTCCTAAGTATAAATAATTTTAATAAAGTAATAATAAAATAATCAGGACTAACATTATAATAAAATAAATAAAAATTTGTAAAAATAAATAGGAAAATAATAATAAAGACATTTGATTAAAAATACTGTAGATCTTGATTACCACTGATTGAATAATGTTAATCTTAGTCTTGATCATTTTGTTATTATTTTTTAAAATTATTTATACTTATTTAAAATTATTTATATTTATTTAAAATTATTTTAAATATTATTAAAATTATTTTAAATATTATTTAACATTATTTTAAATATTATTTTAAATTATTTTAAATATTATTTAAAATTATTATTTGTCAATTTCAATGCAGCCTATGATTCTGTGGACAGAAGCAGTCTTTGGAAAATCATGACTGGAAGCCTCTACGTAACAGTGAATGCCTCAATAGAAGGCAAAAGGCCACGTGGAAGACAAAAAAGCAGATGGACAGATAGAATTGATAAAGATGCAACAGAGCTAAATGGAAATAAATAGCCCAAGACAGGCAGAGATGGAGCAGGCTTGTTAAGGCGGCAAAAGATGTACATGGTCTGTAATGCCAACAGAAAAAAAATGTATATATAATTTTATTTGTTTTGTATCTGGCATGTTTACCTTATATTTTCTTTACATTTTTTCTATTGTTTTGAATTATGCCAGCTGTATTCTTTTAATTTTGTTCTATTTTGTTATTCTCTAGAGACTTTGTCCCAGAAAAAAGTTATTTTCTATTTCTATATATACATAACATTAATTAATATATTTATAATTAATATTTATATAATATTAATTTTGAATGACTAAAGTTCCCCAGCGGGCAGGATGAGCTGTGGTATCTAATTTGAATCGGTATAGGGTTTGTTAATGGGCCAGCCCCCAGGGCCACTACAAACCCTAGACCAGTACAGATAGGGTGTTTGAACCCTCATAGGGCTTGTAAAAAGCGTCCGACATTTTTTGCCAAGAGTTTACGTATGCCTTTCTCTCTGGAAGGGTCGAGGTACAGATTTCGATGGGAAGGTCAAAGCCCTTTCAGCAGTATTCGCTAGAAATTTAAATTTAATTTATTTAATAGATTTTAATTTTTACGTTTCTGGAAAGTAGGCAAACACTTCAGTAATTTTACAACTGATAAATAACAAGTATTACTCTTGAATAATCAAACATTTTGTAATTTTATTATATTTTCTATTGAATCCACTTTATTTTATCATGGGTGATAAATATTCAGGACACAGTCATTATAAAGTTTTTATTAGTGCTGACGTTTCAACCCAAACATTATTATTATTCATTGAATAAATTACAGTATTCAATACCTTCAGTGCTCGAAACATGCTCTGATGATGACCCACATGTTTGGGTTGAAACGTCGGCGCTAATAAAAACTGTATAATGACTGCATCCTGAATATTTATCACCCATGATATGTAGAACAGTCAGACACAACTTTCTCCTACAGTTTATTTTTATTATTGTAGATCCAAAGAACTTTAATTTTGATATGTATTGAAAGATATTTCTAGTTATATCTATGTCACAAAAATCATGAATATTTCCAACCATACATTACTGTTTCATTTTATCTTTTGAATTTAATTTATAGTTAAAGTCTTCTAGATTAATTATAAAGGAGTTAAAAGCTTTCACATAATCACGGAAAGGTAATTAGTTAGTTTATTTAATACCTGAAGCTGAGTTAAATTTACGGTTGTTATATCTCCTAAATGTTGCACAGTTTGAAATTTGACTGCCTCTTTTTCTCTGAGATCCATGAAATGATCAATTACAATCCTTAATTTTTCTCCTGCTGTATTCTTGTGAAGAAGTGAGCCATGTCCAGTTGTACCAGTGCAGTGGATTAATATTCCTATAAAAACAATTAATAAAGTGGGATTATTTAATGATGAATATATAATAGAAAACAATATTTTTTGAGGTTATCTAAGTTTTTGAGTCTATTAATTTACGTTGGTTTCTTACAAAAAATGTGGTTTACTATATTTCCACCTGCTGTGCCATCACTGTTCTTAGAATAATTTCACTCTCAAAAGTGGTTTTAACTAGTTGTTAGACCTATGGCAAAAATAAGCAAAATCCTCTACTGGATTTATCAATATTTTTTTAAATGGTCAAGAGAAAAATAAAACTGATGGAGATATACTGCAATCAGATTTTTGAAATTAAAAGTTTCCTTTCATGGTCAACGTGGATAGTTCGATACTAATTCTCTGAAAGCTTTTGGCTGTTGGTTTTTAAATAATTACCAATAAAGGTTAAATATGTACATTGAACAAAAAATTTTTTTACTTTCAATGCTAAATTACTAAAACCCATATGGACTTATATGCATCACAAATCCACGGGATAGAAAAAAAGACCCAAATTCAAAAAATACAGACTTTCCTATCAAAAACTTGTAAGACTCATCACGCGCAACAAAACATTACATACAGACTTAAACATACCGATGTTACAAGATCACATTCGGATAACATATAAAAAATTCCATGCCAAACTTCATGAACATACCAACATACTTATACAAAACATGGCCACGAGACACATGCCAGAAAACGCCCGATGAAGGCTGAAAAGAAGGTGGTTAGGGGATCTTCTGGATTAACTTTTTCTTTTATTTCAAGTTAGGAATTGGTGCCGATGAGCACCGATCTCCCTCATGCCTGACATGACAATTCTATCAATGAGTATCACATCCGCTTTTTGTTACAGGTGTGGATTAAACAATAAATGTTAAAAAAACTTTCACCTATCTATAGTGAAAGTATCACGATCATGAAAAATTTCGAATCAATTTTCAACAAAAATTCATGTTTTGATGTCAGCTGTGTCTAAATAACCAAGTCTCCTAAAAAGAATATTTAAATTTAATTTTATTCACTTACCCCATTTACATCTTTCGTTATTGAATATCAAGAATTCTTCATCTGCAGAGGGGATCCCTTCATCAATATCAAAACCAACATTTAAATCCTTAAACGTTTTAGTATGTACGAATTTTGCCATACCCTCAATACTCCCAATTTCTTCATCTGAAATTTGATTCATTAAATTAAAAAAAAAATTGATTTATCAATACAAATATATACTGTAAAGAATGACAAAATTCTTCTTGAAATTTAATTTTTGTGTATATATATATATATATATATATTTATATTTAATGTTCACCCATGTAAGAAAGGTATGTGCCTTAAACTCTTTGTTAACTCCTGCGATTATTCATTTTAATATAATTTAAAAAATATGTATATAATTTCAATTTAAAGTAAAATTTGTTAAATAAAGTATCATCTCCATGTTTTCAGTAAAATAACACTTTAATTATTTTTTTCATTCATTATTTTTTTCTGTAAACTTTTGACTGTGATACCTCTCTTTTATTAAAAATAAAAAGTTCGCAAAACAATTCAATATATATACAGTCAATTATGGAGAAATAGCTGTTGAAAAACATAATGGTTGGATATTCACATATACATTTTATGGTTTATCAACGTTTATTGTGATCCTGATAAATGATTTTATTTGAGACCTTGAACAAAGTAGTAAGAGCTGTTATGTGAAATAATACTTCTTTTTGAATGCTTAGTTTACTTCAAGAGTTATACAAAGTAAAAAATATATAAATAAAAATTTATATTTATACTAATAAATTAGTTTGTTAACATGCTACACAAAAAAATACTACGAAAATTGTTAAGATTCGTTTATGTTTATTTTAATTATCCTTATGTACTAATATGGTGTACAAAAATAAGTGACCGTTTTATCAAATTCAAGATTTCAAAGGACCCTAAATATTTCAAATCCTGTTTAATACTTACCAATACTTAATGATACCTTTAGAAACATCATACTCAATAAACCACCCCAATCCCCAAACCCCCCCCCTCCACCTAAACCCCCCAAACACATAAAACCCTCCCCCCCCCTCCCCATACCTCCTCCCAACACTACCAAAACATACAAACCCTCCCCCCCCCCCCCCCCACCCCCCCCCCTCCATCCTCCTCCCTAACCCAACACCCACAATCTCCTTGTCCTCTATACCGAATCACCTCTCCCCATCTCTTCAATCAAACCCCCCATCCCCGGATTCACACCTCCAACACCCGTTCTCCGGGCACATTATCCCCATACCATGCATGTAAAGCACCGGATCATGCCTGCCTACCCAACCAACCCCCCCACCCAACGTCCCAAGCCTTGCCAACGTATTGGATATACCGTTGCACGCTAACTGAACTACGCCCACTCCACACCCATCGCCGCTCCCAGCACCACAGCCAGGAACCCACCCACCCAACCACCACCCCCACCTCAGCGCGGAACTCCCTATATGCCCCTAACAATCCCCGCCCAACTGACAACCACATAACAGCATCAAGACACCGAGACCTGGAGCTATTGCTTTCTGGTTGAAAGCCGAATAACGGGTGCCATGGCATAGATCGTGTTCAAACTGCTTTTTCGGTAGCTGCAAGAAGGATAATTTGAAAAAAAAAAATCCATGTTTTGCGTTTTTTTTTTATTTTGAAGGTGTTATTCATCACAAATTTGTTCCTGATAGATGCTCTATGAATTCAGAAATGTACTGTGAACAACGGGAAAGATTAAACGCGAAGTTGTCAGAGCGTTGTATTGCTTTGATCAACCGAAAAACAGTTAAGGAAGTTAACAAATGTTACTTCAATAATCTTTTCGTGACAAATACGAATCGAATTTACGCGCAGCCTCAAGCACTTTCTCCAATTTTCACTCATTTTCTCGTTTCAATTACTAGGGGATTTATAGATTTTATGTAAACAGTTTATTTACCATTTACCTGGAAGTAAGGTCATATGGACTGTCCGCTTTAACTTGACCTGAGAACATTTAATCCTCCTCAAAGCCTCCAATTGGGCAATGGTGACACATTTCATATCCTGTGAACCCCTTGCATAGATGTTTCCTTCCTGGTCCATCTCGGCTCCAAAAGGATCGTAACTCCATTGCTCCTGAAACGTAATTAATGGATTGGATTGTGTATATCACATAGATATGGGTTTATCACGTTATTTTGGAATAGAAAAAGATACATCTGTGTGCGAGTTAAGCAAAACAGAACGGCTTTTTGAATGAAGTGGCTCATCCAATTGTTATTGAATTTTAATTGTTTTACATTGAAACCGAAATAAATCTTTTAAGAGGATATCTTTTGGAAGTATTGATCAATGCAATTCTTTTAAACATCTTCAGTGATATATATATAGTGTTGCCCAAATGCAAGACCAAGACTCGTCGTGCTTATTAGCTTATTGATATTTATTTAACATGTTACTTTAGATCTTATACACTACAGATATTGACTTAAACATATTAAAGTCCAAACAAATTAATAAAATTTAAAACTTGACAATACATTAAAGGCTTTGTAAAGAAAGATAGTGAAAGGCCCTTATCTTGGAATGGTAGAGGTGTAGAGCAAAGACAATCTATACAATGTCACCAACTATTTAAAAAAAAATCTTGTGTGTCCACTCACATGATTTTTCTACCTATCTTCAACAATTTTTTTCTATTTTAAATATGTTCATGAAAAATAAGACAATTGAATAAGACTAATTTTCCTGAAAACCGAGCAGAGATATCATTACCGTACGATTTCTTTGATGAACTAAAGTAATAATGTAATCGGCAAAGTGGACAATGATTAAAATTAGTGAATACAATTCACTATAACGTTGCTAAAACTGGTCCGATTTTGACGATTTTTTTTATAGTTTGGTCGGAAATTTAATAACTTTTTTTTTTTACCAGTCTTGGTCTTGGTTTTGCAACAATCAGGCAGTCTCGGTCTTTTAAGATTTAAGTAAACAACCCTAAATATTATAATTATAAATTATACCTAACCCATAATACATGCAAAGTACAAGACCAAGACCGATTTTGGACAACAATAAAGATATCTTATAAATTATTTTCTCATTTACCGTCTAAGCAGTGTTAGGATGTTTATGATATTCTTTTAAAAAATTAATTATAATTATTTTTAAAAAAAGCGTTCAAACCTTACTTCGAATACTGGGACCACATCTGTGTGCGAGTTGAGCAATATAGAAGGAAGACTTGGTTCTGAACCTTCCAAAGTAACAATAAGCACAGGACGTTTTTCATCAAGAGGGAATATTTGTGTTTTGAATCCATATTCGTCTGCTTTATTCTTCACAAAATCCACACATGCATCTAGGAAATCAGTATAAATCAAATAATATTAAGGAACGAAAATAAATAAAAAATAATCATCCGGTTTTAAAAACTCTTACCGTAATCTGGATCGGGATGGACAGACCGGATTTTCAAGTATTCCCGAAAGATGTTTATGACATCTTCGACCATCCTGAAGGTTTGTTGATGACTGTAGTATTTTATCTCATTTCATGTTTTTGTTTCTATCATGAGTTCTGCTATCTGCCATATGATGATAACGAATATATTCAGAAATTGCATAAGAGTTCTTTACTAACCTGTATCATTTAATTGTATTTGGAAAGATAACTTGAAAGTGCTTTGTTACAATTTTAAAAATGTTCTCTTGGATTATGATTTTCAAAACGAAAGCAGTATACAGTTATTTTATGTTAGTAACAATAAATTAAGTTAATAATTAAGTGATTAACTAACTAGTTTAATATACAATGGCAGTGCTTGACTAATTTAATATCACAGAGTTACCAGCTTGGGTTTTCTCCATTAGTATTAGGGTGGGAATGTTTTCTTTTTTCTACTGCAGAGCGTACATTTTTCTACATTACCATTTTTATTCAAACTTGATATTGTGGCTAGTAAAACTGTGAAAATGTTGTTAACACCATTAACCTATTACCCATAAACTTGAAACAAAATAACAGACACCCTAAAATTTTATTTTATTTATCAAAGAATCAGACCAATAGGTGCTATTATTTCCAGCGGATCATAATGTTTCTGACCTCATAGGAAAATATTATATTTGGTCTGCTCCAGGGTCGGTGGATCTTAGAGATCGTTTCTCAGGGCCCTACAGCAGAGGTCCCCAAACTTTCTGAACTGCGGATCACATTGAGACACGAAGTCCCACAGGCCGCATTGAAACCTCCATTAAGTCCTGAGGGCCATGACTTGAAATGAAAAAATAAATCCTTGTTCCATAAACGAGACTTAAATAGTGGAATGAGTTTCTTAATACATTTTTAAGAAAAACGACTCAGGCAATAAATGTTTTATTAACATCGTATTTGAGTGATTTACTAAATTATATGTTTTTAAAATGTAATTTAAAAACTTTTGCGGAACTTAGTTTGGAGGAAGACTCCTGCTCTAGAGGAATCCAAAACGATTTATCAAATGGTTCGCTAGAAAAAAAAAAAAAACATTAAAAGCCTTTTGCTCACGGCTTTTAAAATATAACACAGTCCCTAGCGGATTCAAGATTTAATTTTTTTTGTGGGGGAGGGAGGGAGTTAAGCCAAGTAGCTTAGAAGAAAAAAACCAGAAAGCTTTTTTATTCATAAAAATAACGATTATTACTTTGGAAAAAAAGAAAGAAAGTAACTACCTATATTAATGGTACCTACACAATTAAATGGTGTTTAAGTGATTCCTAAAGTCCTTTTAAATGTAATTATACGAACAATAATACTTTAAGAGATTTTTTTAAATATTTATTTTCATAAAACATGGTTATATTTTATCATTTTGGGGAAGAGGAGTTCAGCCCCAAAGCCCCCTTTCCGCCCGTGTGTAGATCCGCCTATGAACAATTTGATATGGACAGTGTTCAATGTTACGACTGTCCATTTTAAGTTCCTTGTTAAATAATATTATTTCCATACGGCAACAATATAATTTCGTTCAAGTAAAAAACATTGAAAATGAAAGAAATCAGGGTAGGGTATTGTTAAATTATTAAAAGCCATATGTCTTCTAGTTATTTGCTATAGGGTCTAATCAATAATAGAATATGCATTAGCCCTTTTAAAAATCAATGTATACAGGGTGTTTTGTAAATAGAGGGAACTTTTTATAGCACAAATAGAAGATCTCAAGGACTACAAAAAAGTTCATATAAACAATGGGCCAATTCCTAGCAGCAAAGCAGGAAATCCAAGTTTGGTGTTTTTTAAAGTAAGTCATGTTTTTTGATGAATAGGAAGCGATAACTAAAGAAATATTTAATTTAAGTAATTATGGTATGGTGAGAGGTGAGAAAAAAATATGTAAGTGTGGTGTCTTTGTCTGGGCTCCATCCCATAGTGGCATAATGGGCAATGAAAAAGCAGACTAAGCTGCTCATTTAGCGAGGAAGGGAGAGCTATCAGACATAACACCAATAAATTGCATCACCGTTGAAGATTGGATACATGAGACAAAAGAAAAGCTATTAGAAAATTGGGAAGACTAATGGAAAATACAACGAGCCAAATAAACAGAAATAAAAATCGAGTGCAACACATGGGCAACAAGCTCCAGAAAATCGAGAAGGGAAGAACTAATATTGTGCCGAATGCGAATTGGACACTGTCTTTTCACACAGGGATAGCTTCTTGGAGGTCTCGAAGCGCCAAACTGCCAAAAGTGCGACAACACACCTCAGACAGTTAAATAATTATTACTAGATTGTACCCAATACGAATAAAATGACCAATGACCTATAGGGTAGAAGCAAATACAAATAAAAAAATAATTAGTAATTAACAATTATTTCAATGTAAACCAGATAAAATTTTCTTTAAATTAAAATAGAGATTATTATTGTTTAAGGATTATTAAACTATTTAAAGAGGACTTTTGCCAAGTAAAACTCAATTTAATTAATATGGACTTGAAGCTTATTAAATGAAGAAGTTTTTCTAAAAGTGGAGTATCTGTAATATGGTTGGATAATGATAAAAAAAAAAAAAAAAATCCCAATAATTTATGATTTTTTTAAAAACAGAACTTAGCCAAGTTTAGCTTCTCAAAAGTCATCTTTAAATGGTTTTAACAATGACAAATTCTATTTTCATACAAAGAAAATCTTATCTAGTTTACAATGATATAATTTTTAATTACTTACACTAAATTTTTCTTCAGTTATCGCTTCCATATTCATCAAAAAGAATGACTTATTTAAAAACACTAAACTTGGATTTCCTACTTTTCTGCTGAGAATTGACCCATGAACTTTTTATTAAACCTTAAGATCGGCTATCACTCCTATAAAAACTTCCCTCTGCTTACGGGACACCCTGTATATCTTATCCTGATTTCTTTTCCGCAGTTCCGTCAAATTTTAAAGTTTTTTGACATTTGTTTATTTTATTCTAAGGTACAGATTTATTTGTATAACAAATTAAACGAACGCTACCTGTTCTTTCAATTACTTTTTATGAAGGCCTGGAACGGTATTAATTTCATAAATCACATACATGCTTTTAATAATATGTTTACATTAAATTTAATTCTTGAACATCAATTGATGAAATTTTTCACTGTTAATGTGAAAAATACGGATACCGTTACAGTTAATTGAACTATGAAAGACACTTTGAAAATGAGATGGAAAAATACTAATGTAAAAACATAAAAGATGAGACTAGTATTTTATAATAGTTCTACAATTCATCATTATAAATCATTAAAATAAACTTTTTAATTATTATGAGAGCACTGAGTAGACAAATTTTATCAGGAAAGTGTGTATCAGAGTAGCAGTTTTTATTGCCCCACATGTCACTTTCATTATCTCAACGCCAGACTCAAATATTTATTGTCTCTTTAGCAAACTTTTCATTTGTCAATTAATATACAGTGTCTCAGTTCTTAACTATGGGGAGGGGGGAAGATGGTGATTATAGACAAAAGTTTCAACAATAAGTTTATTTGATGCATTGGCCGATTCCGAATGGAAAAGTAGTTTTTTTTTTCCCTTTTATTATTCATGATATTTACAACTGTATAAATAAATAAAATACATTTAGTAAATTTGATAACAGAAAATAATAACATGAAATCACTTGATGAGAAACTACCCACTGGTAGCACTCTAAAACAAAATATATTTACAATAGGAGACCTCGAGGCCATCTTCTTTTCAGGCGCCTCGGAGGTTTATCAGGGACAGAACAGGAATCAAGGTTAGAGACGAGAGGATTCTGATGCTTCTGAAGTTTATTATAGAAGGATTGGTATCTGGATTTGGCCAAATCGGAAACATAAGGAACATTAAGCTCGTTATGGATTATTTTATTGGTGACAAAGAAAGGAGTATTGAGGATTTTCCGAAGGATTTTGGATTGTAAGGACTGGATACGAGAGGAATTCGATGGCTTAGTGGAGCCACAAAGCTCAACTCCGTAAGTCCAAATAGGTCTTATTGTAGTCGTGTATATGAGCCTTTTGTAGATAACTGGAAGATTAAAGCGTTTGTCTAGTAAATTTTGGAGTAGTCGGAAACGTCGAGCGGTTTCTTGTCCTTTCAGTCTGGTATGAGGATTCCAAGTTAGACGTTTGTCCAAGTGTAGTCCAGGGTATCGGGTTTGCTCAACAGGGATAAGTGGGGAAAAGTAGTGGAGAACAATTTTGTGTTTTTCTTAAAGTGGCCACGTTTTTTATTGAATAAAAAAGAATTGCTCAATAATGTTCAAGATAATTGAATTCTAAGTACGCCATCGTAAAGTATACAACTTTTTTTTTTTTTTTTTAAACAGTGATTAAATTTAGTGAGGTCAATGAAAAAAGATGGTTTCAGATCTAATACGGCCGCTGTACTGCTGCAGTTACAGTGCCCATACACGAGCAGCACAGCACGTCACTGTACATCGACGGTAGGCAATAAAAATCTAATTACTCCATCTGCTTTTCTAAACCACACAACTTCAGTTCATGTGCTTTTCAGTTGACAGAATGACTAACTCCAATTTCAACATTTTCGAATAATGTCATTTTGTGATATTTATAGTTGGAAAAGTTGTATCTATATAGACAGAGACAAGGGTGCCCAGAAGGGGGTTTTGTAGCGCTTCTACTTTTCTTTGCCCTGTATTAAAGAAAAGGTAAGCAATAAAATATGTTGGGAGAGGAGGGGTAGTCTGAATCCTTGCGCCTTCGATCTTGGACACCTCTGGACAGTGAGTAAGTTTATAATAGAGAATGTTGAAAATGGAATTAGTCATTCTGTCAACCGAATGGCTCATATCTGTCAAGAGAGATGAGGGCGGGGTAGCCGAATGGCTAACGCGTGTGCACAGCACCGCGAGCTTCTTTTTTTTTTTTTTTTTTGGGGGGGGGGGTCCTCCCCTTCCTTGCCTTTAAGGCTATACGGGGTTCTCCCGGGCCAGAGGGTGTTGGCGGGGATTTAAAAGACTCCCCCGGCACCGGGATGCGAACTC